CTGGGCAACAAGGGAATGGGGGGCACCAAGGAGGGAAAGCTGGGGAGGGGACCAGGATGTGCCACATCCATGGGGGGAGGATCAGGGGGAGCTGGCCCTGGGACAGCTCGAGGCTGCACGGGAGGAGCTGTACCCCCAGAGTGGTGCTGGCAGATCCTGAGCCCCTGATGCATTCCCAGATCCAGGCAGAAGGATCTCCTAATACACCTCCTCATGGACTGGTTCTGGTCCAGGCAGGAGGATCTCCTACACCACATCCCAGTCTAGTACTGGTCCAGCCTCTAACCATGGGCTGGGAACACCCTCAGTCCTGGCCCCAGGCTCTGCTCAGACTTTGCTCTTTCTCTCTCTTGGCTACCTCAGGAGCAAGCCCAAAAGCCCAGGGAGGGACTGGCAGATGCTGCTTGCACCAGTTTGCCATCCAAGGGGCAAAGGAAGACCCGTCACTGACTCCTCATCTGAGCAGGATCACCTCTCTGGTCTGCAGGGCACAGACAGGGAGCCTGGGCTCCCCCATCCCAGAGCACAGCTCCCTGAGGAGGGCAACAGCAGGAGCAGCTCTCAGCACCCAGGACTTCCTCAGCCTTGCCCCATTTTATCCCCACAGCTTCTGCACATCTAATTAAGGGCTCAAGTCTAATTATAGCCCTCGCTGCTCGCTGGGGTGTGAGGGGAGGTGTGTGGGAGCAGGGCAGGAGGCTGGGAGGGAGAGATGCTGCTCGGGGCAGCCCGGCTGCGTGGAGAGATAAAGGAGCCTCAGGGGCTGCGGGAGCGAGGAGAGCCAGCTCTAAATTAGGTTACTGCATCTCTCCTTGGGAGCAGGTTGGCTGGCACAGGGACGGTCCCTCCCCACCGGTGCCAGGCGATGACATCATTCCATCATGGCCCAGCCCCTGCTGGAGCCGAGTGGAGCGTGGAGGGGCCGGGCTGTGCCACGGGAGGCAGCGGTGGCACGAGGGGGTGGCCGGGAGTGGCTCAGCCTCGCACCCACAGCAGCCAATTCAGCCCTGGATGGGCCGAGCCCAACTCCAGCCGGTGCCCAAAGGCTCTGCCTGCCCGTGCACGGCCACGGGGCTGAGCTGCTCCCACGCTGTGCCTGCAGCCCTGCCCCTCCCTGGCTCTGCCCCCGGCCCCAGAGCCTGCCCCAGCCTGCACCGAGGGCTGCTCTGTTTGCACAAGGGATGAGCTGTTAACCCTAAACCTCCCCGGGGCCCTGAGAACAGCCTCCCAGGGGAAGGCTGTGGGTCCAGGAGGAGATGTGATGCCCAGAAGAGACAGAACAGCCCCCTTGGCTCGGGGGAAGCATCAGCCTGTAGCCCTGGAGAGGGCTCACAGCCCACTTTTGCCCCCCAGAGTCACAGCACGGGGAGGTGCTTTGGGCAGGCAGGAGGAGATCCCACACTTTCCCACTCCCAACCCTGACCACAGATGTGTCATTCCTCCCCATTTTGTGCAAATACCTTTCCCTCCCATAAGTCTTTCCTTATGCAAGTATAAATCCCTCTTCACATTTAATGACAAGGTGTTATTAATCCCGGGGGATGGGTGAGGAAAGCAACCCCAAGAAAGGGGGAGAAACTTTCCACACACACCCATTGAACGGCCTGGGGGCTGGAGAGGAGATCCCTGCTGGCAGCACTGACCCCAGATGCTCCTGACCGGCCCCAGCAGCACATCAGGGGCCTGGGGGCTCCTTACCTTCATTCCTCTGGTTGTTGAGCTGGTTGAACTGCTCCGTGAACTCCGTCAGCGACTCCTCGATGGTCTCTGTCCGCGGAACCGAGAGCGAAAACCTCCTCTTGAAGTTTTTCATCTTGTTCATTTTTCCCTCGTGCTGCCAGAGCCCTGCAGGGAAGGGAGAGCAGGCTGAGAGGGCTGCACAACACACAGGATTCCACCCCCTCCAGCCCCACAGCTCCTGCTCTCTGGGGCTCTGGCAGCATCCCAACCCGAATTTCCCCCCATGTGGGGACCTGCAGGGGTCCCCTGGGACATCCCCATCTCCGAGGCACCACTGCTGTGTCAGAGCAGATGAGGAGCCACGTGGCCACCAGGGAAATTTGGATTCCTCGTTTTTTAAGAGCTGGAGATTGTCAAGAGGGGCAGGGGGGCTTCTCTTCTGAGCCCAGGACAGGGCTGTGCACACTCTGTCCCAACCACCAACACAGGCTGTGCCTTGTGGCATCCTTGGAAACTCTGGGAATGCCTGGAGCAGGGAAGAGCAGGGTAGAAATACAAGGAAGGCAAGACAGAGTAAACAGTGACGGGAAAGACTCAATCCCACTCTCCTCCCTGTGCAGGGAGGCCCCTCTCCCCTGGCAGTTCGGGCTCTGCTTTGCCCTTGCACGAAAGACTTCCTGAGCCAGCAGCAAAAAGCTGAGTGGAGCCAGGATGGGCTGGGGGGATCCCCCAGGGTCACAGCACAGGGAGATGCTTTGACCTCTCGGCTCCCTCGTGAGCCCCAGTGACTCATCCTGATGGGCATTAGAGTCGCCTTAAGCCGGAGATCTGATTAAAGCAATAAAACCCTTAAAGGAAGAAAACCCTCCCGGGGCACATGGCAAAGTGTGCTGGGGCTGAGCAGCCACGGGAGCTCGCTCTGGGCACTGCTTTGCTTTTCCTTTCCTGCTTTGGCTCTTCCCAGGCTCAGCAGCACGGATGGGATCAGGCTGGAAGAGCTGTCTGGGCAGGGTTTGGGCTCCAGCACCAGCCCTGCTGCACTCTGGTGCTGTTCCTCCAGGCCAGCACAGAGCCAGCACCCAGCCTGCTGTCCTGGCAGCTCCCTGATGTCATGGAATCATGGAAAGGTTTGGGTTGGAAGGGAGCTGAAAGCTGAAAGCTCATCACGTTCCATCCCCTGCCATGGGCAGGGACACCTTCCATTAGCCCAGGTTACTCCAAGCCCTGTCCAACCTGGCCTTGGACACTTCCAGGGATGGGACATCAGTGTCTTACCCTCAACCAGCCACAGCTCTGTCCCTCTCCCCAGTCCCATGAGTGTAGGGATGCTCCTCCACCATCCCTTATCCTCTCGACCCTCTCACCTTCCTGGCAGGGGATTTGCCATTAACAGCTCTCCACTCCTTAATGCTGCTCTGACCCACCAACCCAAGGGAGGATCTGAAGGGGTAAATCAACCCTTGGTGCCAAGCAGGCACCAAAACTACCCGGAGATGTTCTTTCCCACTCCGAGGGGCTCATTCCCACACCAACACACACATCCCGCGCCTCCCCCCGCAGCCCTGGAGCAGGTCGGCCCCCTAATCCTGGGTGTCCCTGCTCTTCCCTGGTTGTCCCCACTCCCCCCCAGCCCTCTCCGAGGCTTATCAGCACAAACAAACGGTGATCGCATTCCAGGCTGATGCGATCAGACACAGCATCCGGGAGCCGGCGCATCCCCGTCGCCAGGACAACGGGAACACTCGGGCTGACATGCCTGCATCTGAAAGCTTAAAAGATTACCCGTCAGCAATATAAACACTCCGTTTGGGTGCCTGCCAGGCTCTGCGGTGAGGCATGGCACCCTGCAGTGGGTGAATCCCAGGGATTTTCAGGGGATTCACCCGAATCCTGGGCACTCACACGCCTCAGCCACCCCCACTCACCTCCCACCCCCAACGCTGCAAACACCTTAAAAGCGAAGGCTCAATCCTGCCTGGAATCCGGGCTGGGGTGTTTGCTGGGGGTGGGAAGGGAGGCTGGAGGCTGCTTGGAGCTGGGAAGTGAGGCAGGAGGATGACAGACACATCCACTTCAGCCCTCAGACACCGAAATGTTTCCTCAGCACGACAGAAACGTGCTTTGACAATAAAGATGTGGCACTGGTGATGCTGCATTAACAAAGTCTCCGTGCTGGCGCCTTCCTCGTGGTCCAAATAACGCCTCCAAGCAGCGCTGTTGCTCTGGGAGGGAAGGCAGAGCTTGAAACTTGCTTTGGAGACCTTTTTCCCAGCCCACGGATCCAATCTGACTCCTCACCTTGCAAGCTGAGTGAGTTTGAACCAGGGCACTGCTGGTGTGTGGAAACGCTGCCAGCGTTGCAGGTACCCAAGGAACTAAACCCACCTGGAAAAGCAGGGTCAGGTTTTGCTCCTGACAAAGAAAAAGCTACAGAGGCTCCTGTACTCGCGTTTTCACGTCGGCTCCAGGCTGGCAAAAAACTCTGCTCCACAAATCCCAATCCTCCCCCCACCCTTTGCCTCCTACAGGAATGCCAGCAGCTCCAGGCTGCTAAATATAAACCTCCTCGGAGAGGAACTGGGGTGGGGGTAAAAATAGCACCGGCATGGCTCCCTGCCTCTGCTGCCATTCCCGAGCTGCCCCGTGCCTGTTCCAGGCTCCTCATCCTCACGGCTCTGGGCAGCTGGGGCTGTTTTTTCCAGCTACACCTGGACCTACTTGGCATCTGTTGATGGAGTTCCCATTCAAGTGTTTGTCAGCTGGAATTTATGGGGCTGTTCCTGCCCTCAGCCCTCCACCCCCCCCAGAGGAATTCACCCCAGTGCCCATAAGGTTCCCTCTAAAACTGGGATTTGCTCCGTTCCTGGAAGGAAAGCATCCACAATGTACACGCCAGAAGGCTGCAGGGATAATGCAGGGTCAGGAAATGTGGGGTCCCCAGCGAGCACCCCTCCCCACACCCCAGCACCCCGGGGTATGAGGGGCTTCATCCCCTCTCCATCTGAATTCCTTCCGGGAGAAGGAATCCCCTTTAGAGCTGAAAGGAGCAGCCCAGCCCTCTCCCCCAGCACTGATTTCAAAGGGAGAATTCCTCTTGTTTTTTGGTTGTTTTTTTTTTTCCCCACCACATTTAGTGTCCTAAAGGATGCAGAGGCATCTATTGACTTTGGGAGAGAAAGTGGCACTCGCTGGGCAAAGCGATGCCATCCCTTTGTTTTCCAGCCCGACAGGAACCACGGCAACCCCTGCGCTGGAGGCACCGGGGATGGAGGGAGCTGATGGTTCCCAACGTGCACTAACATGACGCTGCACGGTAGGACACGAGGGGAAGGAGCAGTTTAAAACTGGCAATCGGGAGTTTAGGCATCAACAGGCGGAAAATGAAATCACCCGGCTTGGAACGTGGCCAAGGAACGGGGATTAAAGCCAGCAGGGTGAGTGATCTGCATTTACTGTAATACAGTCGGGTAGTAAATACTTGGCTAAAACACTTCAAAGAGCCCAAAGCCGAATCCCATCAGGAAAAGCTCCTCGCAGGATCAAGACAAGAAGTTAACGATCCTTTAAACGGGCGGTGACCACACTCGGTGAACTGTTCCCACAGGCTGGGACTGTCCACATGGACATTAGTACACCCCAAACCTGCTGGTTCCCTGCCCTGCAATTCATGGGACAGGTATTTTAGGCATCACTGGTGAGAGAAACTGTTCCCTTTCTCCTCCAGCACCTGGCAGGGCCTCAGAAGCAGAGCTGTGGAGCACTAACTACTTTATTGCTTTTCACAAATGCTAAGTGCCTCCATATTTTCCTCACCACTTTAACAGCCTCACGCCCCCATTTCCCAGAGGAAAGAGTGGAAAGCTTGGAGGGAATAGTTTGCTTCTTTTAAGCCTTTTTTTTAAAATTTTTTTAAAATTTTTAATCCCCACAGAGATTAACGGTTGTGTTTACAAGGCAAAACGAACAGTCCCGTTCAGCAGTTACAGCTCCCGCTTCCAGCTATTAGGTGGCACTGATTCACTCCTGCAAGGATCAGAAAAACGGGGAATTCTGCTCGTGGAGCCCTGTTTGCTGAGCAAACACGGCTATCATGGAACGCTACAGGGCTAAACAACCAACCAACCCAGGCACCAAATACCCGCCCCTCCTCGCAGGGCAAAGCACCGAGACAAAGCCAGACCCAACCAAAGCTCCCCAGCACAGCCCCCCCCCCCGTGCCGGGCAGCCCTTTCCAGGTCCGTTTTGGCCGTCTGAGGTTCTCCCTCCCAAGCTCCAGGACGGAGGAGGAGCAGGGAAAAGCTGCAGGAGCTGCCAAGGTGTCTGAGAGCAGGAGACGGGAGAGATTTTGGCCCCTCCGTGCTGCACATTCCTGTGCAAACAGGAGCTCAGCACGACCCAGATTCCTCCTCCTCCGCTCCGAATTTCCTCTGCAGGGCCCTGTTCAGGTGCTCAGAGGTGTGTGGAAGGAAATGGGGAGTGACTTGAGGCTGTTCTGGGGTGTCAGAGGGAAAAGACTCAAACACAGACCAGGGATGATGCCGAATTTTCTGTGGCAGCTGGGAATGCTCCCAGGGCGAGGAGGGAGGGGCAGGGAAGGACATCAGCCCCTGACCACCAAATGAACATCTCCTTGGCCACTCAGCTGTCAGCCTGAAACCCTCCCTGGGGTGCCAAGCTCCCTCCCCAGCACAAATGCAGAGCACAGCCCGAGTGGGTCAGTCCTGCAGTGGGGACCAGCAGAGCTGGGGCCACATCCTGCCCGGTGCTGGGATGGGCCCTGGTCCCTGCCCAGCAGGCAGAGGGGTTTGCAGGAATTCCTCTCCCCAAAAGGTGAGTGATGAGGGGAGAGAGCAAGGCCAGAGCTCTCCTCCCTGCTCATTTGCCTCCTGCAGCTCAGCCCTGCCTGACATCTCCCCCCTGCCAGGAGGTCAAGATCCTGCAGGGAAAGGAGCACCATCAATTCCTATTAATCTACGGGAGCCCTGCAGCAAACAGCAAGACCATCATCCCAGGGCAGCCACTGCCCTGGGCATGATTGAAAAGGGAGCTTGGCATCCCCAGGGAGCCAGTCCATCCTCACTCTGCCATTCCTTTCCCTCCTGTGTTACTGCCTTCCATGATCACAACGGATGCAGCACATCAGGAATGTGATTTTGTGGCAGCCAGGACATCACTGTCCTCCCCTGGCACAGCCACAGCTGGGAGGAAGCTTGGGAGGACAAATGATCCTGTGGCAAATGCCTAAGACTGGCTCCCACTCCGGCTCTGACCCTCTTGGAATGCCTTGGCTTCCCAGAGATAAATCAAGAATGAGGACACTTCCTTCCTCCCTCCCAGTTGGGTTGAATTCCCCTGGGATGCGATGCCCTGTCCAGCACAGCAGTGTTCCCATCCCTCCTTTGCAGAATTCCAGCTGTAAGTTGTTTAGACACAATGGCACAGGCACATGGAGCATGTAGAGATCCCTGAGGCAGACACAGGGATAGCCTGGGAAGGGTGGATGCTGTGGAAAACTTCCTGCCAGCCCAGCCTTTGGAGACTTTACAGAATCATGGAATCCCAGACTGGTTTGGGTTGAAGGGACCTTAAAGCTCATCTTGTTCCAACTCCTGCCATGGGCAGGGACACGTTCCAGTATCCCAGCTTGCTCCAAGTTTATCCAGCCTGGCCTTGGATACTTCTAGGGCTGGGATTATAACCTGTACTCCAGGCAGGGGTGGGAGGGGAAGGAAAAGCCCTTTGCTGGATGCACATTTCCCCTCCCATTTGTGCCGGTGCTGACAATGAGCCCAGTAACAGGAGCACACAAAGGAGGTTTGTTCTGCCTTTGTATATTTTGCCTTTCTCAGCCCCGTGTGGTGCAATCAGCAGCTCTCCCTTGGCTCTTCCCTCCCCGGCTCTTGGTGAGATCAGGGCAGCTCCGAGGAAGGCATTAAAATGACAGTCATTATTTCCAGCAGCCTCCAAACACTGGGCACTTATTCCCCTAACCTGAGAAAAGTGTCCAGTGTTCAGCTGGAACAACAATAGGCTGCAACTGTGCAGTGTGGCCACCCCAGCCATCCCTGGGGGGCTGGGGGGGAGCTCAGGGCTCACATTGTCCATGCCTTGACAGTGTCAGTGTTTCCATGGAGTCAGCATCCCCAGGGGATGAGCAGCCTGGATTCTCAGCCACTGTGGACCAGCAGATCCCCTGCTCCATCCCATCCCATCCCATCCCATCCCATCCCATCCCATCCCATCCCAGCGGGTTTGCTCCAGGAGGGCAGGCAGTGGGAAATGAGTCTCAGCAGAACCACAGGACTTTTCCCCTCTGAGACAGACACTCCCTTCCCCACTCACTATTGCTACAGCAGCTGCCTGAGTTATTGAGGCTTCATTTCGGGTCACTTGGGAGTTCAGGGCACGTGTCCCACCCTGGATCCTACAGCAGTGTGACCACGACCCAGGAGAGCTGGGAGCAAAGAGCTGTGCTGGGATTGCTGGGGCAGCAGCACTTCCCAGCTCTGGGAGGATGCTCCTGGAGGTGCTGCTGCTGGGCTGTGTGATGTTTAGCCATTCCCTCCCCCCTTCCATGACTCACTTCCACCTCCCATCCCTTTATTGCACGTCCTTCACAGCTCTGGGTACCCCAAGCAAATACTTGCTGAGGAGGAACACGACCAGCAAAAACCAGCCTGGGCCTTGCTTTTATGACACTCCACTGATTATTGACTGCCAATTAACCAACACAATCCAAGCTGCATCCCAGGAAGGTTGGCCCCAGCCTGCCTGCTCCTCACGAGCCCCTGGAGACCTGATGTCCTGTGCTGGCCTCTCCCAGCATCACCTCCTGCCACATCCCACCCACAGAGGGTCCTGAATGCCCACGGACATCCAGCAAAGTGCTCGTGGATCCTGCTGAATTAAAGACACTCCCAGAAAGACAAACCAAGCCCTGTCACCCCAGCAGCTGGCACTCAGCACTCCCGGGTGGCTGGAGAGGCAGTGAAGGAGGTGCCAAGCTTCCAGCTGCCAAGGAGTCACTCTCAGGAACACAAAGCCTCTTATTTTCTCTCTCCCAGGAGTGTTTAACCTGTGGCTGAGTCTGTCAGCACCTGCCCTTCCTTTATTGCTACATGGCAAGGAGAATCCACGTTATGGGAGAAGATTCCTGGTGCAGGAGAGCCCAAGTCCCACCGAGCCTCTCCCCCAGGAACATTCCCAACACACCTGCAGCTCCAATCCCGCTGGATGAACCCGTGCAACACCCTCACACACGGGTTATGTGGGGTCTGCTGCCTTCCTAACTGCTGTTTTCTTTCCTCCTTTGCCTTTTTTTCCTCCCCCTTTTTTAATTAGAGGCTTTCATTCTTCCCCAGCCCACACAGAGCTCCCAGAGCTGCAGGCTCGTCTGTGACTGCAGACAGGAGCACATGGAAAGCTGGGATTCACTTTCCCTGCAGTGGTCAGGAGGAGCCAGGAGGGGTTGTCTGCTCTGTCTTATAACAGAAAACACTGGAATTTTCCTCCCGTGCCCCGTGATTTCATCCTGCACTCAAAGCCTCCCTTCCTGGCACGTGAGAACAAGGCTGGAAGGAAGGGATTCGCTGCAAAAACGAGGGCTGGGGGTGGTTAATCCCTTCAGCTGAAATGTGGGAGCAGCCCCAGGAGTTGGTTTTGCCCAGGGGTGTGACCAGAGGGACAGCTGAGCAGGGGGATCACCCAGCCCTGCTGCCCGGCTCCCCTTCCCAAAAGCATTCCTGGGGAGGGTATTTAAAGGAACAGAAATCGCATCCTGTACACCCGAGAGCCCCGTGGAATCCCCGTGGAATCCGGGAAATGCAGCCACCTCTGGGGCAGGGAAAGGGGGGGGGGACAGCAAGAAATGGGAGCCAGATCCTTGTGAGAAGGGGATCCCTCCTCTCCAGAGGGATGCTGGAAGCAAAGGATCTCGACAGAATCAAACCTCCTCTCAAAAAATGGAGAAGGGTTTTAATACAAACAGAAGCACAACATTTGTGGGGAGCAGCAGCAGCACCAGCACTCGGAGCAATCCAGGGCTCAGCTCTTTGCCACAGGTTTTCTGGGAGACTAGAAAAGCCTGCCTTGCTCTGCCCTGGTAAAAAGGGCTCAGAAAAAGGCTGAAACCTCTACAGTCCACCTGGATTTCCGTGCCTCCCCCCCCCCAGCCCTGGCAGCGGGAGGAGGAGCTGGAGAGGCTGTACAAGCAGCTTCCCATGGGATTAGTGCTTCCTCCTCTCCCAGCAAGCTCCCAGTTGAGATCCAGCAGCTCCTCGGAGCTGACACTGCTCCTAACCCAGCCTCCCACCGCCCTTGGACTGATCTTCCTGCAGCAGCAGCAGGGAAAGCAGGAGAGGGGACGGTGTTCCTGACCTACTTGTCCCCACTGCAGCACCTCCCAGTGCCAGCTACGGGCTGGGTTTCCCCCAGGACGAAGCTCTGGAGCAGTGGTGCCCCTGGTTGGCATTAGGCACACAAAGCCCTTTGCAGCAGGGTTTCAAATCTGTTTTATTTAAAGCTGGGGAATAGTCACATGGTGGGAAGGTAGCGAGCAAACACTGCCAGTCTCCTTCCCTGCCAAGGATTGCACTAATCTGCTATTTAATCTTAAACCAGTTGTGCACCCACCCTTGGAGGGCTTTGTGCACGTGGATTTTCCCCCTGAGATGTGAGGGAAGAGCAGCCACACAGGTAGGGAGCATGAGGAGCCAACGCTTGAGGAATCAGAGGATTTCAAAGCACTGCAGGAGCCATAATTGCTTTTGGATCCCTCTCCCCCAGAAGGAGAAAAAGCAAAGCTGCAACATCTCTCATCCCAACCCTTCCTCATCAGGATGATCTCAGAGCCCCAGCCAGGGTGGGATGTGCAGGGGACCTTCCTGGCTCTGCTTCCCAGATCCAGAGCCTCCCCAGGAGGGAAGGGATCACCCTCCAGCTGGTGAGCAGGGAATTCTGTCCCACTGAGCTGCTGGACGAAGGCAGGGGATTTAAAAAAATCCTCCTGAGCCAAGAGGTGGCTGCCAGGGATGCCAGGGTGGTACCAGCACTGTTTGGAGGCAGCAGACTTGGCCAGAGCGTTGCTGCCAAGATGCCAGGCTTTGGGACACACTTTCCTCAGCACAAACAGCTCCAGGGATGGCTCTCCCTTCTCCTCAAACCATTTTCCCCAGACACAGGGGTGCCACAAGCAGGCTGTGGGTTGCCCAAGAGCCCTGAGAGGCCCTGTGATGGTGAAAGCTTTCCAGGATCCCACCCTGCCTTCCAGGAAACTGTCCCTGAGGGAGCACCAGGACATCCTTGCACTGCCTGGGGACACCTCCCTGCCTAAAATCCTCACCCCAGCACAGCCAGGCACCACCGCAACTACGATATTTTCATGTCAGACCAAACATGGACAGGGCTGGATGGGGAATAGAGAGATCCCAGGTGGAAACATGTATCAACAGATTAAACACGCCCCAGTGCCTGCAAACCCCTGCTCGCCTCCCCACGGAGGGCAACATTTCATGCATATCTGGGAACTCTGCGAGCACACAGTGTTTAGATAAACCTTGTTCCTTGTTAAACTGTAAATAACATCTGGCTCACCGAGCCAAACCGAGCCCCAGCCCCGTGTCCTCAAAGCTGCAGGGATGGCAGACAAAGCAAGTGTGTTTGGTGGGGTTTCAAGTAATGAATTTATCTCTTTTTTTTTTTTGCTTTTTTAAACATAATTTTTCCACTTTGCCCCCCCCCCCCCCCCGTACTTTCAAACCTATCCCAACCCTCGCTGAGTGCTGGTGGAGTCCCCCCGCAGCTCCAACGTCCTTGACAAGCAGGACTGGTTTCTGCACGAGCCTTGGAAACTTGGGGGAGATAACAGAGCCCGGGGGGGAGATAAACAGAGTGAAAGAGCACGAGGGAGAGAGATCTCTCCCGGGAAAACACACGGCTGGGCTCACAAGTCCTTGGACACTGCTGGGAGGGGAGAGGTGCTGGGCTGAGCACGTGCCCACAGCCTGCTGGGCTTTTGTGAGGCATCATCAGCAGAAACCAACGGAAATAAATTCAAATATAGTGCTTTCCCCCTCCTTCCCCCAGCCAAAACACAAAGCTATTTCCTCGTGGTTTTTCCCAGGAGTCGAGGAGACTCCAAGCCACAAAAGCTTGGGATGAGAAGGGATGACACTGAGCAGGGCTGCTCAGAGCTCGCTCGGGTGTTTTCAATCCTCCTCTCCTGCCTCACCAGCTGATAAGTTGTTGCTTCATAGGAAATGCTCGAGATAAGGAAGGATTATAATCCTGAGGCCCAAAGAGAGAGAGAGATTTGGCCTGGGTTCACACAGCAGAGCATCAGTGCCCCCCTCTCCCCGCTGCACCCAGTTCTTATCTGCTGGGGTTGGTGGTGCCCACTGCAGCCCAGTGTGCTTGCCATGCTATGATAGTGCAATTAGTTGCACAATTAATCGTTAATAAGAAGGGATTGAAGGGGATTAAGTACTTAAATAGAACACACGCTGCTAGTGGTAATTTATAAAAGTACTCCTTCTCCCTCAGACACTGTGTCGTGTTTTCCTGGAATTGGAATGACTCGGATGGACCTTTTCTCTGCACCTTCTGCACTGAGGAAATAGCTGTTTTTTCCATCCCTGTGGGGCTGCACTGGAGTCTGAGGGGATTCAGCAGCACGTGGGCACCTCTGTGCATTCCAGGTTTGCCTCTCCAGGGCCAGGGCATCAACAGGAATGATGGGAAAGCTCCTGCTGCTCCTGCTCTCTTCCAGGGGCTTTGGGAGTCGTTGCTAAAGCAGGAGGCTGGTGGGAGGGAGGGATGTGAAGGTGGTGTGGGGGTGTTGTGCTGGTTTGTTTAATGGAGGGAGCAGTCTGGGGACACAGAGATGCTCTCTGCATTTTAATTTGGATGAGGCACAAACCAATCTCTGGCTGTAACCAAAAAGAGCAGTAAAACCACTAGTTCTGCCTCCTCCTCCTCCTCAGACTCCCCAGGCACACAACATCCTTTCTCTGTCCCCCCCTCCTCCCTCCCCGCACCAATTTACATTGCAAATGGTGTTTCCAAAATTCCTGCCTAAACCCCAGGCACTGCCCAGGTGCTGCCAGGACCATCCACAGCCTTTTTGGGACCCTTCCAAAGGGCAGGAACAGCCCGGAGGTGCCTGGTCAAGGCAAGGATTGGGGGGCTCCAGCTCCCACCCCTGCAGCTTCTCCTCCCTGTGTCCCCATTCCCTTTGGCTCTAGGCAGAGCTGCAGCTCTGGGTGGTGACAGGATTTGTGCTGGCCCTGACAGCCCATCCTCCCCCACGCCACACCCACAGCAGGGAACTTTTCAGCCTTGAACCAAACACCAGACCAGCAGAAAAACAAACCCCGTGGCTGCTCTGCCCAGGGCACCCCTCGGGCGTTTCTTGCCTCGACCACACGAGCCTACAGTGAGTCCCCTGCACTGGGCAGCATTCCAGACTCCAGCTCTTCCTCAAAAAGTAGATTATTCCAGCTGATGGGCAAGGCCACAGTGCAAGTTCTTCCCCTGCTCTGGCTGAGGTGGCAGTGAGGGGTGACACAGGCTCTGTGCTGTCCCCCAGGTCCTGTGGACCCCCAATAACAGGCAGCATTCCCAGCACACCCATCCCAGTGGCACATGGGGACCAATTCCATTGCATCCCATCCCAGTGGGCCACGGGGACTGACTCATTTACATCCCATCCCACCCCAACAGGTTGTGGGGACCAACTCCACCACATCCCATCCCAAAGGGGCCACAGGACTGCATCCACTGCATCCCATTCCAAAGGGGCCATGGGGACCAACTCTACCACATCCCATTCCAAAGGGGCCATGGAGACTGACTCCATCACATCTCATCCCAAAAGGGCCACAGGGACTGACTCCATCCCATCCCATCCCAGAGGGCCATGGGGACCAACTCTATCACATCCCATCCCAACAGGCCATTGGGACTGAATCCATCCCATCCCAAAAGACCCAGGGGATTGACTCCATCCCATCCCAGTGGGACATGGGGACCAACTCTGTTGCATCCCACACAGAAGGTCCCAGCATCCCACAGCTCCACTGGCAGAGCAGCTCCCTGTCCATGCCCAATCCTGGGATAAAGAGAGGCTTTTCAGTCCCAGCTGCTCCTTCACCTCCTCTGGGCAGTGCCGTGCCCAGGGAACACCCGGGATCAATGCCTGCACTGTGGGGTGGGCTGGGAATGCTCCCCCCTGGATGTGGTGTTCCTCAGGCAGGATGGGGAACACTGGCAGCCCTGCCAAGGGCTCCTCCTCCCAGCCACAGCCCCGGGATGTGGCTGTTCCCTGCTCTGGACTAACACTGGCCTTCAGTGCCCCGACTGCAAACACCAAAAGCAAACAGTGTGTGGAGAATTCCAGCGGCAGGAATCGTGTCCTGGCTCCTGGGGCAGGGCTGCAGCCAGACACCAACCCGGCAAAAATCAAAAGGACAGATAAGGGGAGGCTGGGATTTGTGGGACACTGCCTGTTCCTGACTGGCCCTACTTCCTGTAGCCTGTGGCACAGTGATTGCTGCGCGGTAATTAGTTAATAATTACAAGCTGACCAGCCCTCGGGAGTGTCTGTGGCAGAAGGAGGGGTAGGTGCTCCAGGCTGAATGCAGATTTTCCATATTTTCCACCTTGCACTGAAAAGCTTGGAACTGTTTATCCCGGGTCGAGCACGGGGAACAGATGCTGGGAAGGTTATTGTGCCCAAAGGAACTTGGGAACAGCTCCTGGCCCCTCTGTGGTCACTGCTCCCTCAAGGAAAGCCCAGCAGCTCACCAATACCAGCTGCACTCCAGCCCAGTGGGAATCTGGCTGCTGTCCCCCCTCCCACTGAGACAGGAAAATGGGAAATCTGGAGATGGGATGGGACTCACCCGAGGTCACCCAGCAAGTCAGTGGCACAGCCAGGAAAGAGCCCAGGAGATCTGGCCCTGGATCCTGCCTCCAAACCCTGGATCCTGCCTCCAAACCCTGGATCCTGCCTCCAAACCCTGGATCCTGCCTCCAAACCCTGGATCCTTCCTCCAAACCCTGGATCCTGCCTCCAACCCCCCTCCTGCAGCACCGTCTCCTTTGCTCTGTTGTTCCCAGATCACTGCAGCACGGGATCTACTGGATCAGGACTTGGATCCTCAATTTCTGGGATCTGTTGAAGATCCCTACAGGTCCCTGGCTGCCTCCTTGGGTATCTACAGCTCAGCCTTTGCTCCAGCACAGGCCTGGCACATCAGCTGCCAGTCTGAAAGGTTCTCCAGCAAATAATCCAAGTGCTAGAAGGCACAAATCCAAGCTCCAGGTGATATTCCATGCTGGAATACAGGAAAAAACCACCCCCAAACTGATGAATTTATATGTGTGTGCATGTTCCCAAGTGCAGAATTGAGGCTCCTGTTCACGAACCTTGTCAGATTTAGCAACTAAAAAAAGATGCGGCTTCGAGAGTGGGAATTTCTGGGAGGAACTGGAGTGAGGGAAAAGCGATGCCTGAGGGGGGTGGTTTGAGGATAAATCCAACTGGGATCAGGAATCACAACCCCTGAGTGACCAGCATATTAACACTGACCGAATAATTAAACAGACCCAGTAAAAAATAAACCATTTCAATCGAAATAGAGAAATAGCAGGAAAAAAACCGGAACGTTTGGAATGTTTCTGCTTCCCAAAAAAGGCACATTTTGATTTTTTTTCGGAGGTTTCAGTGTTTACAGCTTCAACAGCCTCTCCTTTTTTAATGGAGCAATTCAATTAAAAGTCACCAGAACAACAGCAACACCCCACAAAACTGGTCAAATCCAGTCTCCTGCCCCACTCCAAAGCCCCCAGCTGGGAAAATTTGGGTTGTTTTACAGGAAACAGCTGAGCATTTCAGAGACTGGGGGAGAAAGAGAGGGAGAAAGGTCATGGAGAAGCCTCCAGTAATAAAAACATCACTGCATGAGCAAACTGAAAGGGTGCCCAAAAGCCAAACAAAATTCATGTCACCCCAGAGCCCAGACAGAGAGGGGCTGTTTAATACAGAGCAGCTCATCAGAGAGAGTTTAAACCTCTGGTTGGAGATCCAGGGCCATCAGTGATGGATTTTCTAGCCCCAGGAATATTCCCCTCTGATAAATGATGAGGACAGAACCCCAGGGTGGTGCCAAGGTGAATTGTTTGGGTGTAATTAATCCAATCAGTAAGAAACAAAATAAAAAATGTAAAAAAAAAAAAAGGAAAGTAACAAAATAATCGGATTGAGTGCACCATTAATTGGAGTGTCTCCATTGGCAGTGCAAGTGCAGACAGAAACCTTCCCTTCCCAGGCACTAAGGAAAGGGCAGTAAATCCAACACCACTAAATCCATCCTGTTTGCTGCCTCCTCTCTGCATCCCAGCAGCAGCTCTGATGATCCCCGTGCTCCTGCAGTGCTGGCACAGGTGACAGGTACCAGGCACTGACAGCTCTGGATCTGCAATTTGCCACTCAAATAATGTAATTATTGTTGTTCTGGCAGCGCCTGCTGGGCCCAGGGATCGAGGTGCTCGTGAGGAATTGTCCCAGCTCTAAAATGCCTGGTTCAAAGCCACAAGGGAAGGTGAAAGGGAAGCAAAACCACAGGTCAGACCAAGCTGAGATCTCTGAAACGTTCCACCTGAGCTGCTCCAGGAGACTTGGCTCCCGAAAGGCAACGAGCACCAATCCCTGAAAACAGCAGCTCAAACATCCCTCAGCGTGAGCACCTGCAGAGTTTTTGACCCTCCCAGCCACCCTGGGGTGGCAGGGACGGCCCCTGAAGGGAGCTGGGGGCACAGAGAAACCACGAACAAACCCAGAAGGGCTGGTGCTGGCAGCGGGATCCAAGTGCCCCAAAGCCTGGAGCATCCTCCCGCTCCGTGAGCTGCATTCCCGCGGGTCCTGCCTGCACTTGAAAAGCTGCATTATGCATTCAGCACAGGGCTGAGAGTTTTAACAAGAGCCTCGGCTGCTGCTCAGGTGTGAAAAGGAAGGGCCGGATTTTCAGCAGAGATCAGCCCAGCGGGCAGGGACGCGCTGCCGGGGACATGTGGACATCTCCCAGCGGGAATGTGGCGCGCCTCCAAAAATCCAGCCTTAATTGCGGGCGGCTTGGAGCTCATCCCCGAAGCAGCGAGAGAGAAGACAGGTCTCAAGTTCGGAGATGCAGCTGGAAGGAGGGAGGCAGAGAAGGGAGGAGACAGATGAGAGGTGGCAGCGGTGGCAGGAGCGCAGACAGAGCCCAGCCGGCTCCCGGGGCTCACCCCGCTCTGCGGCTCGAAAATAATTCCACAGCAGTTTCTTTTCCAGCCAGGCTGCCGAGACAAAGATACCAGCCGAGATTGTGAGCGACTGAGCAAACAAGAGGCAGATGAGCAGCGCTGGCTGCGGGCAAAACGCTACCTGAAAAGAAACCCTGATTAGAAAGAGAGCAAAAGATGCTCTGGCTGATTACAGATCGACTCCTCGAAGTTAATTGTTCACCAGATTGTAATCTGGGCTTTTGCATCTACATTAATCAACAGGTTGCTTTCTGCTCTCAGTTTTCCCTTTGCAAACAGCAGGAACAAGTGAATTTAGAGGAAAGCAAACCCAGCAGGTCAAACCTCTGAAAGCAAGCAAAGGGCCTTTTTTAAATAGAGACCTTTTGCTGGTGTTCTACCTGTTAAGAAGTAAACCAAGACCATGGCAGAGAGCAAAGCTGACCTTTCTGGGTGTCAGTACACGGGTTACACCCAGCAGAACTCACTCCAGGCTGGCTTGGGATCTGCTCTGAACTGGCCCCAGAGCCAAGACCCCCTGTCCTCTTGCCTGGAGAAGCTGCTTTAAGTTTGCCTCGCTTCCCCTGAGCGTAGAAGGAGAATTTGGGAGGCTCCTACTGAGTATAAACCTTCTTGGAAACTCTTACTGTTATTTGACATGGTTCCCAAACACGCATCCCAGATTTTC